CGTACGCCTCTTTGTTGATGGTCACAGCGAAGTCTCACGGTCTCGAAAGTGGGGATCACGGAGCAGAATGACTTGTGAGTGTGTCTTTCAGGGAAAAAAACAAAATCAAACAATGATTACCCGTTCGAGTTTTTGTTCAACCGGTGTGTTTTTTCTTGTGTCAGTGCGGTTGGTCGTTCCGGCGGCGGATGTGCTGGGAGTGACCTTGATGGTGAAAGCCTTGATTGCTTCTCGTGGTTTGACGTTGGTACTCGTGTGTGTCGTTTGCAACGCATGATGTTCTGTGCTTCTGCTATCGGTTCTCTCTCCAAGTTCTTCGTTTTTTGCCTAGGTTCAAACGTCTGACACAAGACTCCGGGTTTATGTGCTTGCGCCGGCTGCTGTATAATCGAACGATATTGTTTTTTTCTGCCAGGCGGAAGACCTTTTCTACAATATGGACACGAGGAGGCGAGCGTTCAAGAGCCCCGGCCAGCAATACAAGGGGATCCTCGATGTCGTTACCCGCTACGCCGTCCACTTCGGCGACAGGGGTGTATCCTTCACCTGCAAGAAAGTGCCATACGCTTACATCTTCCGACGTTGTAAGGCGCGGCGTGTGTGTTTCACCTATCAGCTTGGCCAGCCACACCCAACGTAGCTCACCTCCCGACCTTGTAAGTGTTCATCCACCTAACACGACGTAGCCAAGCAAGAGCACCACAGCAGTCCCCGCCCAAGCACGCTGCCCAAGCCCAGCCGAAGTTCCGACAGCTTCCTTCCCCCGCCCTTGTTTTTGCTACCTTGTGCTCCACGCGCTCGCACACACATACATCGGGGGGGGGCGTCATCCACGTACCAGCACGGTCAGCCCGGCCCCGACCTACACACGCCTCCGAGGTCCAGCTGCCTGGCGAACATCCGGGTGGCGTTCGGGCCGGCGCTGTCGCGGGAGCTCGTGGAGTTGGAGTGCTCCCAGGCCGAGGAATTGCTTGACCAGGGGGTGGACGGAGGCGGTGAGCAGACAAGAAAATATTTTTCGCGGCGGGAGACGGCTGCTGCTCCTCCTCCTGCTGCTCCTGCTGTGAAAATGTTTTGCGCCTGTTGCCGTCAGTGGTAGGATAATTCAAACGTTGTGGGCGATTGCCGCATGCGGTTCACAAGAGACGCAGGCGCCATCGCCGATGTTTGGCGGTTCACTCGTCTTTGGGGTTGAACATGGTATTTATGTTGTGCTTGTATGCCGATCTGGTTTACGAAGAACGTTCAGGATCAATAAAAGTTGAGTTCCACTCCATTGGGCACCACGCCGTGTTGGGTGTTCNGTGCTTGTATGCCGATCTGGTTTACGAAGAACGTTCAGGATCAATAAAAGTTGAGTTCCACTCCATTGGGCAGCACGCCGTGTTGGGTGTTCTCAATGCCCAGGAAAGAAGGCGGGTTCTACGAAGGTGCTTCTCTCCGACAACCTTGTGTCTCGCCCGTTGTTGCCGTGCCCCTTGCGTGCCTTGCGTGCAGAAGTGCCGCCCTCGAAGTTTGCGTTCAAGGCGAAAGGGCTCGTGTCGGGGGCTGACTACAGCGTCAAGGTGACGGTTTGGTTTCGTCGTTTAACGTCCGGTTTTCGCATGGAGGATGCCGCGTATAATCCTTGTTGTTGTTGTTGTTGTTGTTGTTGTTGTTGTTGTTGTTGTTGTTGTTATGGGTTGTTGTCGGCGGCCGCGTTTCATTCTTGTATCATTCTGTTTTATTCGCCCCCTCGCCCATCGGTGTTTGCCATGGCGATTGGGTTTTCGTCGCTTGGCAACGACGTTGTAAAACAAGCCAATTCACTTTGTGAGCTCGGCCACCAGTTACCGTTTTTTTTTTTACCTCTTTTTTTGGGGGGGTGCGGTAATCATTATGGTGGTCGAGTACATCGTGTTGTGTGGGGTGGAGAACCCTCACTCCGCGCACGGGGGATGATCGCACCACGTTGTGTTAAAATGGTCAAGCACCCTCGAGGCAGTTACACAGTGCTTACACTTGTCTCTGGAAGGTGAATGCACCAGAAAATATATTAAGTCATACGCAGCTGTCATCCGTACGCAAGGAAGTAAGCAGAAGATGCCGAACACCCTTAGCAGGATGCAGGGCAGCCTTCATGCGACTCGCCGAATACCTCACGGCGCTTCGCGCTTGGTGATGTGAGAGCCTGGTCCNTGTTAAAATGGTCAAGCACCCTCGAGGCAGTTACACAGTGCTTACAACTGTCTCTGGAAGGTGAATGCACCAGAAAATATATTAAGTCATACGCAGCTGTCATCCGTACGCAAGGAAGTAAGCA